CACCTTGTGCTGCTGAAACACCATCAGCACTCTCAGCAGCAAACAGCAAGAGACAAGCACGAAGCCAACACAACATTTTAGTATTGATTTCTCCAAGAAATTTAAATCCCACAGGGCATAAACATCAATTTAATCTGTATGCAACTACAAAATGGCCTCACTCCCAGTGTTCCTTATTTCAGCCAAAACACTGCTACAACTGGAGTAAACACACACTCAGCAGTGCAGGCAAAGGCTGACAGAACAAGTATCCCCACGCTCCCAATAATTCACAGGAGTTTTGGAAAGCACAGTCACAAATTCCAGACAGTCAAGGACAAACACCAACAGGAAAATCTGTCTCACAGCCAGACACAAAGGCATCCCTGAAGCACCCCAAGGACCACTGGCATCCTGCCTTGCTAAGGAGAGCCACTTCACCCTCCAATCCAACACTTTGTTGTGGAGTGACAGCCTCAGGTCTCACCTTTGGGTTTCTGTGCCTCCACGTGACAACAGGAACAATGAAAAAACTGCTCCACATTGTTCTAAGTGATAATTTGGAACAAGGGAAGTGGTGGAGTCACTGTCCCTGGAAGTGTTCAAAAAGCATGTAGGCATGGCATTTCATGAGATGTCTTAGTGGGCATGGTGGTGTTAGGTCAACTGTCAGATGTGATGATCTTGGAGGACTTTTCCAACCTTAATGATTCCTTGATTCTATTTTCTGAGCATCCCTGACTCCATCAGACTGTCTTCCCTGCAAGAAAAAAGCCTCACATTACTGCTACCTCCAGCCTGGTGAGAAGAGCATCAGAAGAAAACACCACCAGAAGAAAAAGAAAATTCGTCACTTTGGAGTTTGCCCTCATGTAATCTTAAACTGAGTTCTTCAAAAATGTAAGTCCCCCCTCTGGTCCCTGAGAAATCAGGCCCAGCATGCTCTGACATTCCTCTTTTTCTCCTTAGCACTGCAGGGTTGCTATTTTTTTTCAAGAATTCACCCCATTGAAAAAGATCATTCTTACAGCACTGCAAAGCCCCAGGCATGTCAGTGTCACCCATCCAGCACTTCAGCACCAACACAGTCTCTAGAATTCAAGGCACCAACCTCATTTGTGAGTGATGGATTTATGTAAGAAACTATAAATTACACAATAGTCACACACACAGGGTTTTATGGACAAAGGCTGCACTCATAAAATGTGACACCTTCTACCCACCTGCCCCTGCTGAGGACAGTTGGGTGGCACAATCAGATTCCTAAAGGTATAAAGGTGACAGAACAGCATATTGGGCAATTGGAGTATTATGGACTCACTGATAGGCACAAAAACATGAAGAGAGAAAGCTCTGTCCAAAGACAACAGCTTCAACACAGACCCCACACCAGATAATCAGCCTTCCATAGCAGGATTTATTAATTGCTGCTGCAGTCCCACAAAAGCTGACTTAACACAACTCTAGCACACTCCTGATCCAACATGGGTTGATTCAGGGCTCAGATTACCATTGTCATGAAGGTTTCTAGAGCAGAATGTAATTTAAATATCTATTGACTACATGTGTGATCAGCACAGAGCCCTTACCTGTGTGCTGTTTTCCTTCAGCACATGTCACACACATCATGGCATATTTACTTCACCTCTCAGTAAGGTGGGGGATGGATTTTGCTCCCAAAATTATTCAGTTTTGTGGGTTTTCACCAGGACAGCCTCACTACGTCCAAGCAAGGACCATGGCAACATTCTCCAGCCAGTGTCAATTTTAGGGTGAACTTTAGGATTGCTTGGTCAGAAATAGAAGCAACTCTGAAGAGATCATCAAGATTATTGAAGTATATACTGGCAGATCAGTCTGTACCACTGACAGCTTTACAGCTGCTGTGATCACCTGTGCCACTGAGCTGCAGACACTGTCATTTCTCCACAAAGTTACCATGGTTGTGACTTCAGAGAGTCCCCTAACCATGCAGCAAGAATGGCTCTAAGTCCAGCCTCTGAACTGCAGTTTTAAGCTTGGCTTTCCAAGGGGGATGGCTGCAAGCAGTAAAAGGAAGTGAAAAAATAGAAGGTGTTTATGATACAATCAAAATTCAGGAAAATAAAGGCAGAACAGCAAACCCTCACCTTATCTTTATGGATCTCTGAATGGGAGGATGTAAACAACAGGGACAGACCAAACTTCACTTGTTTGTTTCTAGATTCAACACTCAGTCCACCCCTTAAGCACATAAGCAAAACAGGATACAGGGTGTTACTGAATGATTTCCTCTGAAACCTGATTGAGAAAGATTAGAGCAATTAGAACAGAGTGACACACACTTTGAAAGCCCTTAAATCACAATTAATATAAGGTTTAACCTTTCTCCTAAGGATCATCTGGTGACTGTGTGCCATTTTCAGAACAAGGCTGACACGTCCCAGCCTTGGAGACAAAATTCATGAGACAGAATCCCCTGCCCTCTACTGGCACCAAAGCCACACTGAAATCTGAGCTCATGTCACAGGCAGCACAAACAGCACCTGAGGAGCTGTTTTAAGGGATATTTTAAACTATTATTTGTCATTTATATCAGATTTATAATGTGCTGGACACATCCAGCTGGGAACAAAAGCCCTTTCAGCATCATTGCACTCCTTCCCACAGCATCAGCCAGACTGAGGATCCAAAATACTGCTCCTTGCAAGATAATATATTCATTAACTGGAAGCTAATTCTAAGGGATTATCTAATGTTTGTCATGTTCACAGTGCATAACCAAGAACTCTATGTGGCAGGTTTTTATTTGTTTGTTTTTACAAAATTCTCTCTCACGTACACTGTTGCTTTTCTGATTACAGCCATGCAAACTGCATTTGGCCCAAGAACAGAGAGGCAGGTTCAGAGCTGCCAAAATCATTTTCCAGCACCTTGGTGCCAGAGCTAGGGAAATTCTTAGCCAGGTTTCTGACTCATGTGCACCACTGTGACAGCACCACACAAACCTCAGGGCACACCAGCAAGGCATTTGTTGTGGCTGACCGTGCCACCACATACATTTCTCTCACACTTTGATTTTATGGGTGTCATCACAGAACATTCCAGAGCTTGTGAGCACTGCTTACTGTATTCTCCCAGCAGTGCAAACAGCAACAACAACAAAAAAAAAAGCCAAGATTTACCCTGCTGTGATTATATTTCTGAATGTAAATCAGCATGATTCCTGGAAATATCAAAGTAAATCCCCCATGTAGGCAAGGCCTAAAAGGAATTGAATAAACACAAGGGTCCTGACTGCATATTTAATCCAAAAAATAAATAAGCTTTTAAATCACATTAAAAGGAAAGGGGAAAAAAAAAGCAGCCTGAAAAACAGCAGCTATTAAACAAGAGAAAGTCTGGCAATGCTGGAGTAATTCCCACAATGCTCATCCTTACCCTGAAACACATTGAGAACACACCCTGTTTTCAGAGCTGTCACACAACAAATGCAGATGTGAGCCTGCCATCACTACACAAACAACAGAGTATGACATTTAAATAATACCACTAAGGAGAAGTGGGAGATGCACACAGCCTACACTATGTTCAGCAGTTCTTTTTTAAAGCAACTCATCTGTTAAGTTACCAAATAGCTAAAAGGCCCTAGGGATCCAACAAAACAAAAGTATTTAATATTCCAAAGAATCCATAGGAATATAATCCAATCACACCTGTCTCCTTTTCATTGTAGGCATCTACAGCATTTTAAAAAAATACTAATGAAGAATTCTTAAAGCTTATTAAGCCACATCCTAAAACTATTTGGATTTTTGGCTGTCCTACTCAGCCTAAATGTATTTACAGATAATTTATCCCCATTTGTTCCTGTGTCAGGGTTGTCTGATATCTCAAATAGTTCTTCTCACACTCTGGTGCTTGTCTAACCCCTGACATTTACAGACTGCAAAACTATCCTCAGCCATGAGCTTTCTAGGCTATATAAGCCAAGATTTTGGTGCAGCAGAATCTAAGAATGAAAGATAAACAGGTATTTTAAACACAGTCTATTTGAAACTCTGCCTGTCTCCATAAATAATCTCCACAAATAAATACAGTTTCAACTATATAAGAAAATATATAACACAAAAACCTTTACAGCATAAATTTATGAGGTGGTGCTGTCAAGCCTTGTGATTTGTTCCAGTATCTCTGCATTTTCTCTACTTTCAGCTCCTGGAGCTCTCTCTTAAAAATAAACAATAAAAATATTCTGTCCTTCATGATTATTGATAAAAGCCTGGGGGTAGGAGTCAAGCAATGACTTGTGAAGAAGGAGGTCAGGATGTAAATAAAAAAATACTATGATTTTTAAAAATAAAATATTTATTTAAAACCCTCCAGATGAGTTAATTCAGCATGTTTAAGATACCACTGGCTGATACACTGTCAGAAACCATCAATAAAAATCTTACAGGATTGCCTGTATTATTTTTGTAGAATTGTACATCTAGTAATGATCTGAACCCACTTCTCTAGGTAAAGTACTGGCTGACTTTGCTGTTCCAATGTGCTAAAAGCTATTCATACCATAAATTCTAGGAACCTGGATCTCTGGCTTTCTAAATCACAAGACAGGGAAAGGACTTCTACCTTATTAACAGAAAATTGAGCTAAAGAGGTGTGTGACAAATTTATGGCAGATCCAAGAACTGAGCATAGATTTCAGATTTTCTGAGTTAGTCTTGTGCTTCAGGCAGAAGGCTGGTCTTCTTTTCACTTAACAAGCTAAGGCCAAACTCTTATTAAAAATGGACAATGCATCTCAGAAACAATGAAACAGCAAAAATGAAAAATAAGTCTTCTTAGAGCTAAACCTCCTTGGTCCTTCTAATATTAACACCTGCAAAAACTTGCACCTAACACACCATCAATATTTTTTCTGAGAGGCCAAATTCAGAATTCATACCAGTTTCTGTATCCATCAGGCAGGAACAGGGATCACAGCAGTGACATCACTGCCTTTGGCCTCCAGTGTCATTAGTTCTCATCATACTTACAGACTTTGTATCCCAGCTTTTCAGCATGAATCCTCTTGGCCATGAACTGCCCTTCAATCAGTGCTCGTATTTCTACTTCCTTTGGAAACCTTGGAACCTGTACCAAAGAGGGAATGAATTAACAGCTCCTCCCCCAGCATACACTGCCCAGCTGCAGAGTGGTTAAAAACACAAGACAGGTTTTATAGTTGATTATCTTTGCCTTCACCCTGAGGTCTGCTCTCATCTAGACCCAGTTCTTCACCCTTGCACACAAGATGGACCTGAAGATCAGGACAGAGAACACAGCCCATATCCTCAATGCTGCTGGCAAATACATCAAACTTGAAGTTGATGCACAATGGGAAGAAGTTTAGGGCAAGTTGTAAACTCTTCCCTAAGCATTTCCCATCAGCAAGAGCTGCTTAGGAATCAATATCTCAAAAACATAAAATTAAAGCAATTATATAATATAAAGTTGTATAAAATTCAGATGAATTAAGCAATGTCACAAAAATCTAAATCTCTTTCTGTCTGCACAAAAGTGAAACTTGTTACTACAGGACACTAAACAACATGATGTGGATTCGCTGCTTTTTCTAAGGTAAAAAAGAAGCTTTTTATTTTCTGATTCTAACATTTATAGATTTCTAAAAGTGACAGTGGATTGGAGGGTGACAGTGCCACCTCTCCAATGACACTGGGCAAACTAACAGTCTATCCAATTTCTCCTCCTCCATAAAAGAATGCAAAACAATAAGTTATTTACATAAAGTGTGTGAGAAAGTTCATTACAAGAATGTAAACATCAGAAGGTTTAAAAAAATTTTAAAAATCAGGGCAACAGAAACCATGTAATCTCTTCATTCATTTGTTTTGTTTCTATCTATAACATTTTTCTGTCCTTTCATCAATGAGGCACCAGAAGCAGGAGACTATTGAACTGCACACAAATAGAGGGAATCCTTCACATGAAGTTGAGTTTCTCCATGCACTGCAGTAAGTGCCTACATTTGTGTAACAGCCAGAAGTGATTAAGCATTCATTTAGCAGCCAACACTTAAGAGAGTAGAGCTGCACTGCAAACAGCAGATAGCATCAATCTCTGTTCACCTACGTGAGGTCTAATCGACTGGGAGTCATGATTGATCAAAGACATCTCCTGAGTTTCAGTACCACCCAGAAAGCCAGGCATTTAAACAAGATCCAATCCTAAAAAAAAAACACCCCAAAGAACTTCCCATAATTTAATTTCTATTTCATTCCACTTGCACTTGAGCCTGTGTTTACTTAAATACCACTATGTGGCTTGTAACATACTCCAAGTCATGCAGGACAGCAAAATGAGGTCTTTAAGCTCACACATATACAGACAAAATATTTCAGCCCAAAGTTATTACAGCCCAAAGTTTCAACACACCCTTATCTGTGTGTCTAAAACTTAAAAAACAAGGACTAAGTCATGTACATGTACTAAGTTCTCAGTAAGCTTAAAGTTAATCCTGTCTCAAAGACAGTGTTGGTTTCAGCAAATCCATATTTTCCAGTAAAGAAAGTATATAATAAAAAAAACACCATATAAGTTCTAGTTCAGACCTGGCTGGGTAGATGCTCTCAAGCTACAGACCAAATACTTCCTTATGAAAATCATTCCAGGGACTTGCATCAATAAATGAAAATGGACAGCAAATATTTCAGGCAGAAAGAAAAAAAGTATATAAAGGCAAAGATTGGAAGCCTTGACAGCACTCCTTCAAAGTTTGAGATATTAACCAGATTATTACTACCTTTTGGTTGTCTCTGTTGAATCTGTGAATCCCAACTGCTTCAGGAGTAATTTCCATCACATCAAAGTAGAAACCTGCATCAAGGAACATTAAAGAGTGTCATGTTTGCTCCCAGGCCAAAAGTTGGAATCTTATTTCTGCACACAGCTGAAATGATAATAGATGTTTATCATGTATAAACCACACAGCCTGTTTCTTTACTAATTTCAGTCCACACATCAACTTCTTAACAATGTTCTGAGCCACATGATGGGGGATTCCTGGGGCTCTCCTGTGCTCTCCTGTGCTCTCCTGTGCAGTGCCAGGAGTTGGACTTTAATGATCCCAGTCCCAGTTGGACTTTAATGATCCCTTCCTCCTCAGGATATTCTATAATTCTATGATTCTCTCACTTTACAAAGTGTGGATATTAAATATGCCAAACAATGTAATAAACACCAAGCACAACAGAGGATACACCCACCACAATGCACACATTTGCAAGTAACACAGCTCATACATAACACATACTAGAAATAGTCTGAGTAGGTCATATGCAAGGGTGAAAGGAGGGGAAAAAAAACACACAGAAAAAATGGGAAGTTGGTAAGAAGAGTACAGGAATACTGGAACATTTCATACCCTGGATTAGATTTCATGAGCTTATTAGGAAACATCAGATATTTTAAGTCACGAAGCAGAGCTGGTCCCTGAATAGTTTTGATGAGATCTGAAGAAATGCTGTAATGCTTTGTAGACAGCTAGACAAAGATTTCTTTGGATTGGTCAGAAAAGACATTCAAGAAAGGAGACCAGAAAAAAATGAGGACAGAAAAAACTGAACAGAAAAGGTAAGAAATGAGGGAGAGTTTATGAGGTTCTAACCTCGGGACAAAACTGTGCAGTCCTAGCAGACCTGTGATTACTGGCAAAATAAAACCCAAAATAACACTGTGCTTTAGCACACATAACCTTTCTGGTTAAACATTCTGCAAAGTTGCCAGTAAGCAACTCTGTGTGCCACAGATCTGCAGGGGAAGCACATCCCAACATTCCAAACCTGACCTCCAAACCTCCGCAGAGGCACCTCCCCACACAACAGGGAGCACACGGAACAAGGAATAAAAAAGGGGGGGTATTTAACCAGATATGCCTTTATATACTCCCCCCAGGCACTCACATTATGGAGATTACTGCATTTTTTACAGATATATCCAGAGGTTATTCTAGTACATATATTATTGAGGATGACTTCCATGAAACACCCATTTAACAGAGTGAGATACTCAAGTGAATATACTATAACACAAGCTTTAAAACTTTAAGGCACTGTTCTGGTTCAGTAACAATATTTTCATCAACTTCCAATTTTTTTAATATTGTCTAAACTGTCTGGCTTTGGGGTTTTAGAATAATTTCTTCCCATTTTCTAAAACACTAGAATTGATTCGTCTTCTAGTGAAAAGAGATTCCTGGTCATTTTAATACCCCACAGAGAGCAGATTTGACCGACAACATAACAGAGCCTTTCTAAAAATGAAAAATCTAATCTCACAGTGTCAAGAGGCTCTGTCTTAAATTCACTTTGCTAAGGAGTGAAGCCTTCTATAGCTTAAATATCTACATGTAAAAACTTTTCTGCCTATAATTTTTACATTAATTTTACCTATATCAATTCACACCTGAGATGATGGTGATGATTTCATACCCTGCTCTGCAATGGGTCCATTTTAATCTTGATTAGACATGTGCTCACTTTTCAACAGCTTATTTCAGAGCTACACATTAGACTTGTAAAATGTTAAACTGTGGGAGAGAAAATAATGAAAAGCTTCAAATCCATGAGTTTAATAGTATTTTTAAAGTATTTCCATCATCAGAATTTTGTTACATTTCATTTACTAACCCTAACATGGGGGGAAAAACAGAGATGAAGTGATTCTGTGACACACACTAGGGAAAATGCAGGAAATCTGAGCATCCCTTCACATCATTGCTTTGTACACGTGCATGAACAAGATTCTAGAGTAATGAGAGAAAGAAATAGTATGGAGGTACTTAATTCACTTGGTTTGAGTCTTCAGAAAAAGAAATAAACTTTAATGAAAACCTCCTTCAGAAAGTACTGGTTTTAAACATTCTACAGCTGTGTTATTAACACCCTTCCAGTGGCCAAAGGAGATCCATAAATACAATTTTCTTAGTCAGTGAATATTGAAGGAAAACACTGTGATGACACTTAGGCTGTCAAAAGAGCATTTCCAAGTACACATCAGGAATTTCTCTTGCTCTAGTTCACGTAATTCTTGACCTTTATGATGACCCAAGTAAAAAGGAGACACAACACCTACTGCAGTATGTGTCTAAGCAAGCCCTCAAAGTCCCAGCCCTGCTAAGGCTCATACCCAAGTTTCCACTGTTTCCAGCAACAGTTGATGATAAGGCTTTGGAGAATTCATCCCAGGAGCCTGAAGCACAGTCATCTCTGATCCTCTCTCTCATCAGAGAACCATTCTTAAAACTGAAACACACAAACACACCACATACATTTTCCAAAACATTTAGCTCTAGATTTTTTTAAAAAAAAATTAAAATATTTTCTTCCTTTACTTGACATTGTTGTGTAGTTTATCAGCTGAATTAAAGCTGGGCAAGTTAAAAGATATAAACACTTCATTATGGAAAGAGATAGAGAAGGAAGAGCAAGATAAGAGAAAACAATTCTTACAGGAGGTGCTGGGGAGCAGTGCAGAGATGGGGATATGTTTTTCTCCAGTGAGTCAGGTCAGATCCATGGCAGGCCAAGCCAAACCCAGGCTAGCTCTGCACAGCTGAGACATCTCCTCAGAGAGGTGCCGTGCCACCACTCACTCTGAGAAGACTCTGCAAGGAGCAGCACGAGTGTCCCCACGTTGCATTTATGATTTCAGGAGCATTATACCTGTATGAAACCAGCTTGGGTCCAACAAGAATTATGGTGAGGTCTAGCCCTGTGCCAGGATCTGGCAAAGGAAAGCACCACAGCCAGTTAGCAAAACATGCAGAAAAATATGCATCTCTTCATTTTTTATGGTCTTTGCACAGTTCATGCTGTCACCTTCTCTGTGAATATCACACTCCTGCAAAATACTGCAGCACTGGACTTGCATCCAGGGGAAGCAGTTTGAACACTTTCCAGCGCAGAGTTATCAGAGCAGCTCAGCAGAAGAGGCACAGAAATATCAAAAATGAGGGCAAGAAAATCACTGAACTTGCTCAGTAGCACCAGCTGAAGCTATTTGAGTTTTCTATACAAATACCCTGTCTGGTAGCTCAAGCATTCATTTTCTACTGAGAGTCCCCTATTAACTCTAATATTCTAGAAATAAAGAGCCTTGGTGCCAAAGGGGCAGGGTCAGCTCAAAAATGACTGCACAGAAGGAGCAGGAAGGATTAACTCAGCACTGCCAAGGCCACCACCAAACTGCATGTTAAGCTGCAGTGAAAGAACAGCAGTGTAACATTTATTCATAAAAATGCCTCAGTATCTGCTTTCCTATTATGAGCAGGTTGTTTATATAGCTCTTTTACACAGCAAAAGTAAAGAAAACATTGGGTGGAAGAAAAACTCAAATGTAAATTAAAAACAGAGCAAACAAACAAAAAAAACCCCACACAAAACAAAACATAACAAACAAAACCTGCTGGGAAATAACAAAACAAAACTCAGTAATTTCCAATTGACATCTTGGTTTTGAACTCAACTTCATGAACACTGCTCTCACTGTCATCTACTACTGTGCAGGTGGGATTCAACACTACAGCTCTGGGGCAGACTTGAGCTTTGCTGAAGTTCTGAGTTTCAAGCATCTGCAATCCAGGGCATTTAGACACAAAATTTATCTGTATATTACTTGCAAATACTTGCCAAAACACTATGACCTGGATTGGAAATTTTAATCCAGAATACAGTGGTTCAGTGAGGGCAAACACAGCTCCAGTCCACCTCCTTGGCTGGCAAGGGGCCAAACTACTCCCAAATCACAGCAGCCAAAAGCCACCATGAGGATCAATTTCTCAGCTGGGTTTCTTGAGATCTCAATATTTTCCTCAAGCACAGCCCTAATGCATCCCTGAACAGCATTGATTATGCTCCTCTCTGGAAAGGGAATCTTCACCTCCTCCATCACGACCCCGCTGGAGCACTGGAGGAGCACAGAAGTTGCACAGCCTGGTCAGGCTTCACACATTTCACATTCCATCTCAGCAGATTTGTTCTTCCTGCACATTAAATGCATCACCTGAGGTACACAGAGAACTGGCTCTATCCGTACACCGAAATAATTTCAGCTTTTTATTGCCATGAGAATTTATCCTCCACAACTGTGCAGTTTCAGTTCCTCAGATTAAACAATAGGAATGCTATAAGGTTGATGGAAATGTTTCAGCAGTAGATTGCCATATACCGTAGAGAATGCTGAATGTTCTATTCATTATCATTTCACAAAAGAAATAAAAAGCACTAACAGAGAGAAAGAAATATATGTTATCGATCCCAGATGTAAAAAAATAAATTATATTACCATAAAAGGGCCATATATGTTTGAGAATCAACAGGATTGCAGAGAATATGACCTTCTAAGGCAGGAGTTGGCTCTTGGATCCACAGGAACAATGTGTCACTTGTGCCAAGGCTAATCTGGAGGGAAAAAAAAATAATTGAAGCCTTATCACAATGTGCATGGAAAGCAATACAGAAATTAAATTAAAACCATTTGTTATTGCCACTAATTGTTTTTAAATTACACATTAAGTCAATTGGATTTGTGTTGAAGCTAGCTCTGACTTAGGCTGTCATGCCAGTGAAATACATACTAGATGGAGACTTAGGTTTTAATGTCTGGAGTGTTAGTTAAAAATAGTCACAAGAGTTTACTTAAAATCTTTCAGGCAGCTTACAGATTGATAGAAATAGAACAAGCATGAGTCCAATAAGCAGCAAATCAACACCAGCAGGTATATTTAACTGGCAACCTGCAGCTATTTACATTTCAAGTATTTCAAGCATCCAAGGACAGTTTTCAGGAAAGTGTTTTGACTTACTGCAATGTCTCCTTCTTGAAGTCTCATCCCTGCCAGTGATGCTGAAAGCAAAAAGAATACCAGGTACAAAGGTAGTTCTTTGACTCAATTACAGTCTGTTACCTGAGACATCATAGGACATTACAAACACCCTCCCAAAGTACAATATAAATGGCAATATGCTCCCAGTGGCCTTGGGCTATCCACCATAAAAGATGGGCAAAACTTTTGGGTGAGGGTGGGAATTTTTTAATAAAATCAAAATGCTCAAGACAAGACAACAGAACAGCATGATTTTTCTAATGGTTTATGTATTCAGGTTTTATACACAGTGGACCCTTGAGTAACAACACAGTTTAGAGGAGGAACATTTCTACTTCCATCACATTATTCACATTTTTATTGGACTAAATTGAATTTGGGTCTCTAGAAGAAAAACCGGACTTTTGGGAAATGCAGAGATTCAAACCTTCATAAGCTACTGTAATATATGTAATTTTCTTTACACTGAAACAGTCTCCAGGATTCAAGAAACTGACCCTGAATTAACACTTTCCCTTGTACTTAGATTTATCAGTCTTACAAAAGGTCAGTTCTAAATCTGAGAGAAAGTCAACAAGGTCCATCTGCACCTTTTTGCTTGAAAAGATACAAAAGCATTTTTTAAAATTCATATTCTCTAAGCGAAAATGTTAGCAGTTCATAGTAGGGACAGTTTCTCATAACAGAAACTGAAATTATCAAGAGGTAAATGAATTCACCTCTGATTACTTGGCAAAAGAAAATTAATTTGTCATATATAGCCTATCCAAGATATTTCTATCTCAAAAGAATCAGTGATGGAAGGGTGATGGGAGGAGGAATTAATGCTGATAAAAACAATATTCTGTCATTTTATAGGCAGCATCTGAGAACCAGTGAGATAGATTTAGAATTTCAGTACATACATAATCATATCCACTGAATCTTGCACAGTTAATCATCTCACCTGGATTGTCTCCTGTAAATGCTACTATTTTACAGTCTGGGCTAAACCCATAACGTTGACTATAATATGGAGAAATGGGCCCCTAAGGAAGGAAAGAAAGAGAGGAAAAAAAGCTAAAAAAATGGAATGCAATCTTGCAATATATGACAATATATTGTTAACACAGAACTGAAAAACCCTAGAGCAGCTACAAGAATAATTTCTGAACATTTAAGGTACAAATGAATATTTTAAAAATTTTTAATGCTCTTTTCTCATTGTAGTTGTTGAGAACCTCACAGGAATACCCTCAGATTAGATTTGAAAGCAGGCTAGTAAATAGGAGCATTTTAGCTTTGGGTCTTTCTTCAGTCATTCACATCAAGTACCATAAACACATCTATCTGTTTTGCACATATACATGAATATTAATAGCTAGAAATTAGAAATTCAATGCAAACATAAGAGGAAATACAACATTAATATACATCACAGCATCAAATGCTGGAATATGACCCCTATTATTTTAGAGGTCAAGAACTGTATTCTTTTAAGCCACATTTGATAGCCATTGAGAAAAAAGCAGACGAAAACTACCCATAAAAAACACAAGAACACCTATAAGGATTTTTTTTATATGTTCCTCTCCATTACAGATCAGCAGTGAATTCAGAGGGCTCAGGTGATGGGTATCTCCACTGCCTCACATGTGCACAGCTAAAGAATAGCTGCTTTTGTGCTGGGTAGCAAGACAAAACTCATTTACTCAGGAGATGTGAGGCTTGATTTGATTTCACCATTATGCTACGTGAACTGAGGAGCTTTAAATATCCCAAATTATTCACAAAGATTACCTCATTAACTCTGCAAACAGCTTAAAACAAGATCTCTGTTGAGAAATGCAAATGCAGGGTTCTGTTTCTGCAGCAATAAACACCCATGCACAGTTCTGCAGTGGCCAGGTGCTCTGGGGGATGGGAGAGAGAGGACCCCAAAAATTCTTATCATTGGAGCATCTACCAAAAAGTCTCTCACACAGCCCAGGGCATGCAAGAATTCAAAGAGACCAAAGCTGTGATGGGTGCCAGTTTCCAAAGATCTGATCAACACCTTCAGAACACAGCTGGAAATATTAAAGCAGCAGCACTGCTCACACAAATGCACTCCATGTGCCATTGGCAGAACTCCCAGCAAAGTTGTTGCTTACAACTCTTCTGGCCAGGGACATACCAGGACTGAGTGGGATGCTACAGGGCATCCTAGTCTCTCCTCTAATCCAGGGGCACAAGCATCAAGGCAGGGCTTTGACCATGCCTTTTCCCAAATCTGCAGCAAGTTCATCCCAGAACCTACAAGACAGATCAAAAGAGGAAGTGCAGAGGATTAAGCAAAGACCGGAAAATTCCAACAACAGAAAATTTACAGATGTATATTTTACACTTAAAGAGAACATTTTCAGTTCTTCTAAGAATGAAAGATACTGATAATTTAACCTCTGGAGAGATTTCACCTGAAAAAGTAGCAGAAAATGCTTCTCTGATGTACAAGGCACTAGGCAATTCAGTCATTCACAAATTATTAGTAAAGACAAGAATATCAATGCCTCCCCATCAAGTCCCTCCCAGATCTTCTACCAAGTAACTAAAAATGATGAAACAATGTCCCTTGAAGACATGTTGTGCTCAGCAGAGACCTAAAAGTGAAGAAATTCTCCCTTCAGTGGGATGGCTTTACATTACTCCTGCCTTTGAGCAGAATATCCTAATCCACACTGACTAATCTTCCTCCATATCAACATTTCCCTTTTCAATTTTTCAAATAAAGCCTCTAATTTTGAGGATAATTTGGTATCCAGATTTGAATACCAAAGCCATGATTTTCAGGCATGCTGAGCAGCTCAGCTGAAATCTGCAACACCTGCAAGCGTGCAAACCTCTTAAGGCCAGATTCTGTGAAATTAGGCTGCTAAAAGCATAAATAACTGATTTGCTCACCTGTTTTCTCACCAGAACTATCATTAGATCTGAGAAAGGACTTTGCAGTTTTGGTTTGGTTTCTCATTGCTCTTTTCTCACTGTTTTTATTGCTGGTTTAAAAGTTAATTGAAGTTGGTTACTGGCCAAATCTATATAACATACTGAGCACTCCACACCCCTGGCTTATGATTCTAAGATGCCTTTAATTGCACATTTCATTAGACTTGAAAATCTGTATTTCTGGTTAGTGCTGCTCGGGGACAGAGTAGTCTTATTCTAGATTAATATCAACTTCATTCCAAGGACTGCTTAGCCCTCAATTTATTGATCTCAGAAACACAGCCACATCCTCAGCTGAGCGCAGTGGAAAACTTGGTATTTCCTTCTGTTCAATACATTTTTAAGTTTTTCAAATGATAAAGATGGTGAAGTTGATGCCACATGCAGTGCCTGTGGAAGAAGACCTTGCTTGCAGTGCTGGGATGCTGAGGTGGAAAAGGATTCAAATCCCACCTCAGCTCATCACAAGGCTCCAGCAGTGCTTCTGCTCTAAGAGCCTTCAACACACTCTGCTGCTGGTTACACAAGCACAACTGAGCCCAAACTATCAACTCCTGGCAGACTTTTTCATACAGGCTTAAAAATGGTCTAATAGCATTTATAAACAAACTTTATCTATTTATCAGTACAATCCTAAGCATGCCCAGTGTTGTCTGGACCTAGTGCTCCACACGGTGCTGTAAACAGAAAGTGCTGCACACGTGAGCTGAGACGCTGGAATAACCCAAGCCAAACAGCAGGATATTTGGATTATAATTAAAAACATTAAAATAGAATTAATTTTATTCAAAACAATCAACCCTATTTCAGGCAAGTTAAACAGATTTAAAATATTTGGCCTATGATGAAACAGCAGGAATTCTGACAGAGCATGAAGTGCAACAACCCTCCCACAGGCAAAGGATCCCTTTTCTGCCATCAAAATCACTACTTCACACCCAGAAAAGGAAAGATGGCAAGATTTACTCCAGCATATCTCATGTCTCTATGAGAGATCACTTTTAAATCCAGCCATCCCCTCCTTCCCAGAGTAAACTGTGCTCTGACAAGGTAAACTCAGCCCAGAGTCACCACGGCACTTTTCAGAGGTACAGGGTGTGAGCAGTGCTGTGTTCCATGCTCTCAGGCATAACAGGACTTTCTACAAGGAAATACAAAAATCTATAAATTTTCCTGGAAGAGTCCATTATTTAAAAGGCCAAGAACCTCTTCACTAAACTAAAGCAGTGAGGAACAGAATCTTTCAATAAATAGGATTTTTCTACAGAAGGATTAGCTGTTGTTTTCTGCAGGTTTTTGTTTGGGTTTTTTTAATCCTTCTCAGTCCACGTCCCACAAACCAAGAGAGACACTTCACCAGAATCCTCCAGTGCAATTCTATAAGACATTAGGGCAGCCTTCAATTTTCCCTACATAAAACAGAAAAGCTTCTAATCTTTCTAACTGAATGTTTACATTATACAGAAACAGCACTTCAGTTTGACTGGTAGATGCAGTGGCACGAAGACTTTCATACGCCCTGAGAAAAGAGAGGTGCGGCAATTTGCCCCAACCTCAGAAACTCATTCAAAAAATGTGAAACAAATGTTTTAGAAGAACTATTAATCTGTTGGGCTGGATTCATCGTGTCCAGCTGTGGGCATGGGAGTCTCAGTGGAAAATAAAAATCATAAATAAAAATGAATGCTCCTCTGATTATACAAGGAGTGATTCACACTGAGTTCCTACCTCTAGCACCTCTGCTCATGTTAAGCACCACAAAGTTTAACATACAAAATCAGTAACAATCTGAGGAGTGAGGGGAGAAAACAAGCAAAAATCAAAGGCAGCCCTTTGACTGATCACCCCGTCAGCAGTGAAGGTCAACAGCCAAGGCCATGGCACAGTAAAAACTGAGGAAAGGATCAAAACATGGACTAATAGATTTCCATATTTCACTGCAAACATCACTGGCTTTTAGCACAGAATGACCAGGAGCACAAGCAGGACTTGCTAATATTTATTACAAATATAGAAGTGATGAACTCTTGGGGGGAAGGGGGAATACAAACACTTCCATTGCAATGACCCAGCGATGCAGACTAACTGGTTGTATTAATCCACAAAGTAAAGATCAATATTTGCATACATTTATAAGCAGTTAAGTGCATCTGTTTCTGCATTACAGCACTCTGGACTGGCTTTTCAGTGAGCTAAAGCCATGAGAAGTGTAACTGCTGATGCCACACAAGCTACAGGAGGAGTAAATTCAGCCCACCACACCACTTTTGAAAAAGCTTCAGTCCAACACATCCTTTTTTGGTGGAACAACAAAAAACAAGTGTGCTAAGCTACAATTTGCCTAAGGCTCTTGGAAAAGCATTTCAAAAGATAAAGCTTCTCTAGGTCAAGGGCTGAATTGCTGTTCTTTAAGGTGTCTTCTAAAAGAAACAATGCCCCAAGTGTTCAACTTCTTAGGTCCCAGATGTATCTTACTTTTAACATCTGCACAATATAAATAAAAATCATTCTTCATTCCACTAGAAGGTAATTTCATTTTTTAAATCAATCACTCAGGGTGCTCAGCCATTCATAAGTGATTTGAACCTTAAAAGATTGGACCTTTAAGAAGAAAAATAAAAAATCCTGAAACTGAATAGCACATTTCCCACAATAACCTGCCAATTTGGAGATAAGTTATTGTGTAGAGCTAAACAATTTGACAGGGTCTTTTAAAGATGATATGACCTGAAGTTAAACCTACAGAAATGAAGAATAGGTCTATTATATGAACATTATTTTGAGAGATGCATTTTAAACTACAATACACAGGTGCTAAGTAAAAGATCAAGTGAATTGCAAGAAATTGTAAGTGACAAGAAAACAACTTTTTCAGCTGCATCCAAATAACTACTGCATCCACTATACTTATATTTTATTACTGGAATTAGAATTCTCTCTCATTATATTAACAGAAGAAAGGAATGAATGAGGAAAAATATAGCTTACAATGCCAAAAAATCTTTTGTCTTGTAAAGAGAACTGTAACATCCTGCTTAGTTCTCTTATTTCACACAAAGATTTAATAGTCTTACAAGCTCTGAACAGCACATAACATTTATTCAGGTTCTGTAAATACCCACAGGTGTAACAGAACACAGGTTCTCCCGGAACTGTTTGAAAAATGTGACTCATTTTCTAAGAAAATTTTCCAATTAAGGAAATTTTCTTTTTCTTTACTTTAAAATATTTTGTTTTCCAACAATTTTTCATGTTCTGAAATTGCAGAAGCATGGCTTTCCTCTACTTGCTTCCAAGCAAGAAAAGGTAAAGTAACATTATCAAAAAAATTAAAAAACCAAACACAAACAGGAGATATTTTTAATGCTTATAAAAATAAGCATTATTTTTAACCATTCAAATCAAAATTAACACTTTACTGTCATTGAAAAATAAAAATCCAGTATGTTTCTTTATCAGAAAAAGCACCCAAAGATTTCACTATCTCTCTTTGAAATACAGTAGGTGGCTGAGCAGCACAACTGCTCAGTATTTGGACTTGCTGAGGAGCAAAGTGCAAATCTCCAAGGAGTTATTGTTGCCAATAATACACCAAAAAAATTAAATAATAAAACTCAGCTGTGCCATACTTGGCTAAAAGGACAGGACCAGAAAACAGATATAATAATCTCACAAATGGTATGAAATAAGCATGGATTGCCTTGCCATTTCTGAGGTCTCGAGTATAACTGGAAGCTCTGATAGCAAGTAAGTTGTCCACTAGCTAAAATTGAGGTGTCTTGTCTTTTCCTGTAAGATTTGATGGAATAACAAAAGAGAAAAAATGAATTGGTCTTAACACATGGGTGTCAACCATGTCTCTGTAATGCAAAAATTCTGTAGAGAATTGTTATCCCTTGTTATCTAACCTTTCAGCTCTGAAATATGTCTTCTCTTAGTTTCAGAGCAGAAATCAGAAATGCATTTTAGAAATAACAGCCGAGCTCCCAGGAAAATGCTTTTCTTTGTAACTGCCATTTTAAATTGCCATTTAAAAGCTGGATAACTGAGATAACACACAACAGAAAAGAGAAACAGTAGTCTTGTCACTTCTTTGTCTTTGTTATGATGAATGGAGAGATATGGAAGATTTCTTTTTTCAGCTGGGTTTAGTACATTTTGCTTTATTTATGCTTTTTTTCCTGGTTCATTTTGAAAATATACTTCTGTTGTAGATCCATACTCCAGTTAGGTGGGGAAGAAATCATCACTATATACAACATGTTCACATCCTGTGCATCTCTGAGCTGAACCAGCAAAACCAAAGAACAAATGTCAGAACCCTGAAGTTTTGTTTAGGATTCCACAACTTTCTGATGCCTCTAGAAGATCTTTCACCTCTCCTTTATACATCAGAAAAAAATGAAAAAGCTATAATTGCATTTAAGACTCTTTTCTGTGGATCCATTTGATAGAATTGGGAATCAGTATGATGGGGAGAGATGAGCATAGCAAACATCAAAATGAAAGGAGTAACTTAGCTTAAAATCTAATATACTTGTCATTAAAATTTAAAGATTGAAAACAAACACCAGGCACCTTGTCTCCCATCTATGTAATGTGGGGATGGGAAGGAAATTTTCCTTGTTAAACTTACTATGAAAAAAGCCCACACTTACCATCACTATAATCAATGGGTGCATAAGTTCCTAGGAAAAGGGAAGCTGCAAAGCTGCTGACCAAAGAGATTCTCTGCAAAAAAACCCAAAAACAGTGAGAACTAGTAAGTCACATCAGTATTCACTTCAAAGAGAGTAAGTAGAAAGCAAATAAAATAACTGGAAGCAGCAAATGTTAATAGATGCTTAAGGTTAGGCCCAGAGAGCACACAAAAATACACCTAGGATTATTCAGTTCTGACCATCCCAGTAATACAGCACATATCAATCTAAAAGTAACTTCATTATAAAAACTGTTAATAGCTCTGCCTTCTGAAACATGCAAAACACACCTCGTATGTTATCATATTCTGTGTTAGCATGAATCCACAGCTTCAGACTATCACAAAGATTTCAAAGAAAAAAAAAATCTCATTTTCAAAGAAAAACCCTTCCTAAGGAAAAAAAAAATAGCACACACCAAAAAAACCAAAAGAAACCCAAAACCACCTGTGTGTTATGACAGGGGAAATGCTCAGAACCCTGCTCTGCCCCACCCACAGCACAGGTCTGTAAGTTTTAGAAGCTCTGGCAAAGCTCTTGGAGCACCTTTAGCACCTCAGTGTGACCTCCTGCCTTCCTTCCAGCTGAGACCCCAGACCTCCCTGGAGTTACTCCAGGAGCTGGAAATAATCAGCTTGGAACTGAGCCACTGCCTGCAGCTCTGCCTCAGGGCATGCTCCAGCTGCATGACACCCAGCTGGCCAAAAATGGGGTAGGGCTGGCCAAAAATGTCCCATATGACACTGATCCACCACAAACCTTCCTCCTCTTCACCTCTGCTGTGTGAACTACCAGGTTCACCAGCCACCACCAGGCTTTCTGCATGATCAAGGATTGCCTGATCTCCAGAAGCTGGCACAAAGGCAGACAAATCCCTCATTCTGTGCTGTGACTCACTCAGAAGAAATGTGGTTGTCACCCAAATAACAAAACAGAATCAAACCTCTACAGGTGGAGTGAGCCAGAAATGCCAGGTTTTTATTAATGATCACAAAACCACTGCTTCACAGCATTTGAGGGCAGCCTGTAGCCAGAGATCTAAGAGGTGGTTGTAATGGCCAGGAAATTTAATGATGTATTTGCTCTTTGTGCACCTCTCCCCAAGAATACAATCCCATTGTGCTCAGATAACAAAGGCCTACCTTCCGTGGTGCCCCAGTGGGCACTAGCTGCCTGAAATGGAAGGAAAAAAGGATGAAGTTAAACTGTGAATCAGCCAGCCAGTTTAGCAAGCTGACCTACAGAAGCAAAAGCATCCACCTTCCACATGTCATTGGGACTGCCAAGCTGTTAAGTGCTCCTTGAGGGTCCCCAAGAGCAGCTCTGGCAGAGATGTTTTGTGCTTGAATGCATCTTGCATAAGCTTTATTGCTAAAATTTGCCATCAATTCAAACAGCCCTCAAAGTCTGAAATTGGTTTAACCAGTTGTCAGTCCCACTTCCCCCCAGTAACATATCTTTCTCTAAATTTGGTCTTAAGCTTATGATCAGACAGTATCAGTGTTCTGCTTCATCTCATACCTTACTAGTTACAATAAGACTGTTAAAGAAAAGAAGGAAAAAAAAATTAAAATCAAGCATTCTCCAACAAAATACAGAGTCAACACTGCAATTCACTTTCTCATGAAATGAACTGCTTCATACAGGGGTGAGATTTAAATAAATAAACCCACAAAAAAATTAATGCTATCAAGAACTGAAACCAGGTCTTCCTTACTCCCCTTTGTAAAAATGGGGTCTATGTTTCTCCTTTTCCAGCCAATGGGAACTTCACCAGACTGCCAAAACTTCTCAAATATGATGGATGGTGGCTTAGCCACTTCATCCACCAATTCCCTCAGGACCTATGGAAGTATTTCATCAGGTCCTTGTGCAGCTTCAGGTTCCTTAGATGGTCCTGAACTTAATCCTGTCCTACACTGGGTGGTTCTTCACTGTCCCAGCCCCTGCCTTTGCCTGCTGTGACTCAGGTGATGTGGCTGGAACTCTTGCCAGTGAAGGTCAAGACAAAAAAGTCCTTGAGTACCTGGCCTTCTTCACAGCCTGGGTAACCAGGCCTCCCATTTCCTTTGGAGAGGGAATACATTTCCAAAATCTTCCCTTTGACATACCTATAAATTCTTTTCTCCTTGCCCTTGATGTCCCTGGTCAGATTTAATTTTGTCACGGTTTTAGCTTCCCTGAACTGATCCCTAACTGCTCAGAGGGCCTCTCTGTATTCCTACTGCCTTTATTTCCACCTTCTGTAGGCTTCTTTTTTGTGTTTGAGTTTGTCCAGGAGCAATTTGTTCATCCACACAGGCCTCCTGATGTTTTTGCCTGACTCAATCTTAGTTGGGATGCACCACCTCAGAGCTTGGAGGAGCTGATCCTTGAACATGAACCAGTTTAGGAGAGCCTGTATCCTTCCATTCCAACACTCCAGGAGGCATCCCTGTGATGCCAAAAGGATCATAACCCCCTAATTCCTGTTTATTCACCACGCCATGTGTGTTTTCCAAGATATTTAATCTGGACCACCAATGAAGCTGCCTTTGCTGGCTGCTGCTGTCCTTCAGGTGCTCTCCTGCTGACCTGCCATCCCTCTCCAGGCTCTGGGTGTCTCCTTCTGGCACCAGCCTGATAGGAGTGGGAAGGTCTGAGGTTGTCCTCCCCCAACAACTTCAGTTTAAAGCTCAATTCACCAGCTCAAGAAGTATAACGCTCAAAGTAGAACTGATGTTGGGTTTTTATCTGCCTAACCACTAATAATTTAACAGAATTTTAAAAATTCTATTTTCATCTTAGTTTCAAACACAAGAATCAGAATAATCTTCAGCAAAAAGATCTGTAAAAACATCTGCACAAAATAAATTTTAAAAGACTTTCAACCATGTTTTCCAATAAAGGAATTGAAGTTAAGCCAACCTCAGTTTGCTTGTAGACTTCAGGATTCTGGCTGTAAATCTTTGCTATCTGGTTTCCTGTAAAACGCTGAGAAAGAAATGCAAATGCTTAGAAACACAAACCCTAAATGGAGTCAATAATCATTAACTCTGTGTAATGAGTTCAGAACATTGCACTTTGGATATTTAATTTGCCTGATGCATGATGAAAGTCAGTGCACAGCAGGCAATCTGCACTAAACAGGGTATAACACACAGTCTCATTATGAGAATTTTGTTCACCTTTGAAAAAAAAAAAACATGTGGAAAAGCATTACTATCCATAATTTACATTTCAGAAATGACAGTTCAATGGAATGAATCACACTTATTCTGTGCACAGGAACCAGCACAATTCAAATGCTGCCTTCAAATCCTTGAAAAGGTTTAAGCTACACAATCTATGTGCCTGCCTGTGAGGCAGGTGAATTGAAATTAAAGCAGGAAGTTTCATACTCAAAGCAGAAACTCCAGCACAGGCTAAAAACAGCTGTAAGAATATTTATTTTTCATCCATGTACTATGTCAGATAATCAAAAAACCTTTTAACACTGAAACCTTAACATTTAAGAAGTGAAAAATAAACTGTTAGTGGTATGCAAAGTCTGATTTCAACATCGGCCATAAACCTTGCATGATGATTCAGAAAGAGAAACACCAGTTTGTGAGGTTAAAGCCTTATTCTGATGAATTGAGTATGAGTAGCCAGGGGCTGAGGTGCCTGCAGGGCAGCCCTGCTCCCACTCCAGAACTCGTTGTCACAGTTACAAGGAGGGAAGAGTCAGGAAGAGCAGACAAGTGACAGCACAGCTCTGACAGTGTCCCAAGCCTCTGAAACACTTTTTAGGTCAACAGCTGCTTGTCAGCTTCCAGGGAATATGAAAAGGCCAATCTTTTAATTGCAGAAGTAAGCTAGAGCATGATTCACAAGTAGGTGGATGGATTTACCCCAAACAAACCTGCAACACAAACTGGGTTTCCATCCCAATAGAAATGTGGCCACACAAGATGCTCCCAGGGGACAACGAGGCCCTGAGACTTTAAGCATGGCAACCCAACACTGCATTTTGGGAGCCACTGGCCAAATGCTCCAACTGCCTCCTGCAGCAAAATTTCCAGAGTTTGGCTCATTTCACTGTGAAATTTCTGTATGTCCCTTTGTGAGACTAATGCAAAGCACAGTAAGGTTGGAGTTCCTTCAGAAGCTTTGTCTTTCCTAGGTAATGGCTGATGGTTACCTGCTGCAGCTCCCTGGGGTGACAGAATTGTTTCCAGCACAGCATTCTGCTGGGAACTTCCTCCCCATCCATTCCTCACCTCATATGCCCGGGAGCCAGTGACACTGGCCAGGTGCTGGGCTCCCCCCAGGGCTTTCTCCAGTGCTCTGCACTGGGAGGCTGTGCTGGAATCCATCCAGATGGGACTGTCAACGACTGAAAAACAGCCCTGCAATGAAGAACACCCTCTGTTAGCAAGTCTGGTCTCTGAGAAGTCCCTGCTAGAGTAATGACATACAGCAGCCATAGGTATCAGCTCCCAGCTGAGCTCTCTGACGTGCCTTCTGCCCTGCTCTCAGCAGTTCCACAAAGCAGATATTGGGTAAAATGTTAGTTAGTGATGAAAAGTTCAACCCAAACTTTGCACCAGAGGCGAGCAACATTCTTTTTCTGCTGTCACTTCACAGACCCTGCAACACATCCTCTGGTAGCCAAAACCCCAGCCCCTTTTAGAACTCCTCCACAAACCACCAGATTATCTTCCCACAGCTCTGCTAACACATTTCTCCTTAATGCATGGCATAACCACCTGGAAATACAACTGTGGATTAATACACCATTTATTCCAGCATTTTTATGCCACTTCCATGAACTTTGCACAGATGAGACAGTTACAAAACTAATGATTTAGCACATTTAACACAAAAGTCTCCCTTTCAACATACATCTGTCCTTTCTGACACTGAAGTAAGGGAAGAAGGGTCTTCCAGAGGAAAGCTGAGTCCTCACAATTTTTCTTTTTAAATAAAAGCTTGTCAAGTGCGTGTTCAAAGCTCACCAATCACACACATATTAAATGTTGAGGTCAACAAGTTACTTGGTTAGGATTTTAAGTCCACACAACATTATACTTATATCCTTTTGGAAGCAAGTATAAACTGGTCTTTTTAAAATATATATATTTTCTTATGAAATAATTTGCACATCCTGCAAGGAAACTCAAGTACAGTGGTTGTTTTCACCACAATTTATTGTTAATATATTAAAAATGTAAAATATTTACGGATTTTTTACAAAAGTATTACATTTTCTAGAAGAACAAAGAGGCAGTTACTCTGACACAGAAAGTTCTGGGACACCCACTGGCACCTGTAAGCTTTTAAAGCAGAACATACTGCCATTCAGGAGAAAAAGAAGTGTCAAAAGTCCTACAACTGAAGGAATAACTACTACATTTCATTTGTGCTGCAGGGGCTTGCAGCCCAGCCAAACAAGAGGAAGAAAAGCAATGTGTAAGGATCAGAAAAAGGACAGTGTAGCCCTCCCTTCAGAGCTTTTGTGCACCTTACCTTTAGTGATTGATGTAAAGGTAGTTCAGGTGATGCATTCTTTAAAATGTGGATGCTTCCTTTTTTCCAGTACACACTCCCATGTTGCTGTAGGAAACACAGAAAGAGGAGTTGGAGATGCCCTCCCAAGCTTCAAACTTCATACCCTGATCTTACATTCTAAGGAACAAAAGAGCTCTCACCAAATTAGGACCAAAAAATGGCCCATTTCAAACCAAGTGTCTCATAAAAATCTCTTATTTAAGACTGAGCAAAGCAGACACTAAATCAGAATATTATTTTGAATTAAAGAATTTTCTAGTTGGAACAATTATTGCATTGTTAATGGCATTAGATACTTATTTGAGGGCTCTTTGATCTGTAGGCAGTCAAGATTTAGTTCTGTGCTATTTCAACAGAGCCCCCTTATCTATCAGTTACAAGCCTGTCCCCCTTGCTGAAGGGAGTAAAAGGGAATATGGGCAGTCTGGAAATCACCCCCTTTTTTCACTTGAGTAAGGTGGGATTATTTGACAGTCCCCAACTTGTGCTCCACTGAAGAATTCATAACAGAGCCTTGATGCCAGCTCTGATTTTCAGACACTTTACTCAGACTTTCAACAGCAATCAATGAAACATGGAGATAAAAGCAAGGGTTTTGATTAATTAGTCACAGATACATCAAGATGAATAACCTAAACCTCGCACGTCAGAGTTAGCTGTTGCTTTGGTGCTGTCCTCACCCTGAATATCGTCTGTGAAAGTTAAAAAAGCCTCTGTTGATTCTTTGGAGTACTAGGAGGAAACTGGCTAACTGACTAAATGTCAGGGTGGGTTTTGTAAACTTTTTTTAAAAGGCATTATGCATTACAGGCTAAATCATGGAAGCATTTTTGTCATTTCTGCATCATTTGGGTTTTGTTCTTTCTGTGCAGATCCCTGTCCTAGCCAACAAAAAACTGTTCAGTGGGATGTCACTGTGCTTTTAGCAAACTGTGCTCCTTGCTGGTTTTCCTACCCCATTTTCCACAAGAACCTGGATCTCCTGAAATTCAAACTGAACATAGAATTAAAACAACATGAAGCCAAGCAGTTCTGCACAATGCTGATCTAAACAATTGCACTGCAAACCTCATCCTCCACTCCCACCATCTTCTAGTGATTGCTCTGTGTGCTTCGGGTGTCCAGTTCCCCTGAGGAATGTCTGTGGATGCTTATGTAGAAGATTAGTTCTTATTTTATGCCATTGCAGTCTTCTGCCATACAATTGTTTAAATGTATCACTCAACCTTATACTTGATCAAAGAAATGCAGTAAAACTGAACTTTTCTGCATAAACTAACCTGGCCAGCACCAGACATAGCTCTGACTTGAGAGAAGTTAAAGCCTGAAGACTTCATCTTTTCCAAGATCATATCCAGAGCCTACAACAACAAACAGAATCAAGAATGACAGTAACGAGCTATCAAATTATGCATACTCACAATCTGGAATTAAACAGCAAATTCATGTCATCACTGATAAGAGTTCATTGGCAGATAATGAAAAATTAGTTAACGACTATGGACTTTTCAAAAATCTGCATAAATTAATTTATTAAGTGAGAGTCCATAAAAGAAAACTTGAATCACACAGGGGAAAAAATAAGATCTTTAAAGAAGCTGAATCACAAAGATCCATTCTTTGAATCCTAAATAAGAGGCAAAAGTTAAAGAATTCTAGTCCATTAAAAAGCACTTTAAGAGTGCTAGACACAAAGCAAGATTATCTTTTTTGTTCTTACTTTTGAAAATCTACAAAATCTTAATAGGGTACAGCCTGCACTCCATCCTACAAGACATTAGGTAACCTCACTACCAGTGCCAACAAATTCACAGATTCTTTAACATAAAGATAATTCAAGTGATTTTAGCACTTCAAGCACCTAGGTAAATTTTGTTCTTGACACATTTTCCTGAAGTTTAAAGCCTAAAATTAATCTGTCTTTAAATAGTTTAATTTAGATCAGCATTTCCCAGACTGTCTTGACAAATGGACCACTGCAGGACTTCCAAAGAAACATCATATATACCTACATAATCATATTACTAATTTAATAATTACAACAGTAATAAAATAGAAATACAATGCAATAGAAAATAATGCTGTACTTCAGAATAGACATCAGTGACAGTTACTGGGAACCAGTGAATAAATTGCTCTTTCACCACTTACCAGTTGCAACATCAATTGGTAAGCACAGCTTATTCTAAATGAAATAATAAGCTTAAGTAATATGGGTGCTACAAAAACACAGATTTAAGCAAGGCAAAGTGACAGCTGCCCCATTTGTGTGTGAAGGGGAAAAAAGAGTCTTTTCTCAAATGAAGGAAAGTCAGGAAGGAATTTCTCACACACAGAACGCTGTAATAGTAGAAAGTGAAGAAACAAAAAAAAAAAGCCATCAAAGTGTTAGCAATTTCTACTATGCTTATTGATAGCATTACTATTTGCATACCAAAGACACAGAACAACACTTCAAAGAAACAGAATGTAAGCAAAAGAACTATTTCTATTTGAGTGATGGGTTCCACTGTTGCTCACAATAAACTTTCATTTCTGTAGCAGCAAGGAAAAAGTTAATCCATATAAAGTTTGTTCATACCTTGACCCACATAAGCACTGGTGAAGTCACTGTCAGTCTGTCACTGTGAATGTAGACTCCACCTTGAGTCCTACAGAAAAACAGGATTTTCTCTTGGTAAATTCAGTAAATTTTTTCCCTGACAAGCAGAGTTCTTCAAGTTTATTAATGACCAAAGAGAATTTGCAATGCTTTTATGTTTAGAGCAAAGATCAGTGTTTGAAACATGTAAAAGCAAAAGCCAGCTCCTAGGAGGTGACATGTTTGACAGAATTGCAAAATAAGTAATTTTCAAGGAAAGGCCCTGATCCTGAAGATCTGTGATAGAATCCATTGCTGATATTGCTCATTGGCTGCATGTGATTCATAATTATTTCTGTCACAATTAGTGACTTGAACCTCAAAGATGAAGTTAAATTCTGCTGTTAAACTATCAAGTAAATAAATGTGTTTTATTGAATTTTGTGACTGGAGGATGACACTTGTCAATTCTACTCTATTGTTTAAGTAAGCAAATGCTGTCATCCTATCTTAACAACAGAATTTATCTCCAAATGTCTTTTAGATGTTCCCCTCATGCAATTTACATGGTGTTCTGAGAGCACCCAACCCAGTCACGTCCACAAGCCTGAAGTTCCAAAAGAAAAAGAATGGTTTATTTACATGTACTATTTTGGAGTATATTTTCTTAATTTATCTCCTGTTGGGAGCTCTTGTTATATTTACATTCAAGGAAGGCAAGAGCATATACTACCCTTGCAGACTGGGAAACATGAACATGGCATGACTTTTGCTGTGCCTCCATAAATATCAGTGAGACCACATAGGGCATCAGTCCCCTCACCCCAATCTCCAAAGTTTTAAATTACATTATCCAAGTAAAATATAAAATATAAAAAGCCTTACTTAAATTCCGGAAGGTCCTTATCAAAATGAACGTTATCTTCATAAATGACCCTCAGCTGTTCATCAATAGCAATGACTTTCAACTAGAAGATATAAAACAGGAAGTTAACAAAATCTAGCAATAATTTAATAGCACTGATGACTCATTTATAATAATTTAATTCCCACAGACAAAACGAAAAAAAAAATCACCTCAATCCATACAACTCACTGAAAGCAGGGCATACTTTTACATTAAACAAGTTATTATGTAAATTTCCAGAATGTTAGCTATTCAGCAACATGTGGGTTTGTTTGTTTGTATTTTCTTTCTCCTGCAATGCACAAGATTGGGTTACCGGCATGTGCTAAAGAACAGCAAACATGTTACCAGGCTCACAGCTTACTTCACAGTAGCCAGTTTCTCCAATTCCTCCAAAGAATACAGTATCTTAGATTAAAGATGTCATACACCTTCTCTTTTTGGCACCTCCTCTTTTTTCTAAATGAAAAAAAAAAAAATCACCTCAATCCATATACCTTGTCATATACCTTCTCTTTTTGGGCGCCTCCTCTTTTTTGCCTCACCTTACCAAGGAACCTCACGGACCCTTTAGGGTACCTTGAACACCTTTCCTGCTTCCCAGATGGTGAGAAAACCAAACTCTGCCCATTTGGCAAAACATTACAGAAGTGTATTTGGAGCTACTGCAACAGAAATCAACATCCCCAACTCCATAAAGCTGAGCCCTCCTGTAAGCATGAATTAGGAGTGTACCACAACCTTTCCTCATCTATCTTCACTGAAGTTCACCTAGTTCTGAAGAAAGGCAGAGGAGAAAAGCAAGAAGGAAGCTCACATTCTGTGCCTATTTCAACCGGGGGAGAGTGCAAACTGCTGCTAAAGGAACTGATTAAAAAAGAGCCTACAAAGACTGTCATCTCAAGGAGCTGCATTCAAATAACAAAGCCATCCCCATTTTTACCATAGTAGTGTAGAGCCATTATCTATGCCCTGGCACAACTCATTACCAACCTGCACTAGCTTAAAAATGGCTCTGACCCACTGCAGCTTAATTGGCTCTCTGCTTGCAGCATGTCCCCATAAAAACACTTGATCAACCTAACCTGGATGTGTCTTTTCAAGCTCCCAAACTTCAGCACAACCATAATGGTGATTTATGCTCGAACACCTATTTTTAACACGTTCAGGTCTCTGCACAACTCGGGCAGAGTTTCTATTCACAGTGCAGCAGTACCCGGCTGTGCCAACAAATCGGAATTTCAAGCAGAAACCTGAACACCCAGGCTCAGAGTCTTGATTCACACAAAGACACAGGGAAGCCAGGTTTGGGTGCAAATCCCAGGTCCTACAGCAGCAAGCAGAGGGGTCTATATGCAGTCTCTATATGAAGAAGGAACATAGCACTCCTCCAGGATTTAACCCATGCCTAGCAGGATGGGGAAGCAGGACACATTGGGATATACAACCCACTGCTTCAGATGGGGCAAACAGAAAGGGATGGAGGTGAAGGGGATATGAGAACAACCAGGTACATGCATTGTGTGCAGGCCATGGACATCTTGAAACACACAAGTCACTCAGAATTATTACAGCCATAAGCTAAAACACAGGAAGTTCCGCTTCAAAATGAGGAAGAACTTTGTTACATTGACTGTGGCAGAGCCCTGGAGCAGGATGCTCGGGAAGGACATGGAGCATCCCTCTCTGAAGACATTCCAAACCCATCTGGACATACTCCTGTGTCCAGGTGACCCTGCCTTGTAGCAGGAGGTTTGAGCTGGATGATCTCCAGAGGTCCCTTCCACAGACTGACAGAATCGGTCAGGTTGGAGGGATCATCAGATCCAACCCCCCTGCTTTAGGAGGCTCGTCCCTAAGGACCTGGCACAGGGTTCTGTGCAGACATCTATTGACCGTCTGCACTGACAGAGACTCCACAACCTCTCGGGGCAATCCAACGCTAGGGATTGTGTGATTCCGTGAATAATCTAGCATCAACCGTGCCCGGCTGCAGCGGCTGCGAGCCCCGGGCAGGGAGCCCCGAGCAGGGATCCTCGGGCAAGGAGCTCCGGGCAGGGAGCTCCGGGCAGGGATCCTCGGGCAGGGAGCTCCGGCCGGGCCCGGGCACCGCGAGCAGCCCCAAACCCGCCCGGGGAAGGAGGAGAGCAGGGACGGAAGGCGCGGGGAGGGGACGGAAGCGGCGAGACAGGGAAGGCCTGGTGCGATCTTGCTCGGTGGCGGCGGGAGCGCCGCGCTCATCCCCCGCATCCCTCGGGGCAGCCCGGGCCCGCGTTCGGAGCCGTGCCGGCAGCGCAGCCCCGCAGGGAGGGCAGAGCAGGGCAGGGGCGGGGAGGCGGCGCGGTACCTGCTGCGTGCTGAAATCCCAGCCCAGGTAGCAGGGAGCGGCCATGGCACGGCTCGGCACGGCACGGCTCGGCCGGGAGCCGCGGCAGGGACCGGGAAGGGGGCGGCTCTGCTGGCCCGGCCTCCCCGGGCAGGAGCGGCCCGGCCCCGCGGTTAATGAGGGCTCGGGGGGCAGGGAGCGGGGCGAGCGCTCCATCCCTCGCACGGAGGGGCCGGGAAGGGCTCGGGGGGGATGTGGTGGTGGATGGAGGCCGTGGCGGGGTGATGGTGCGTGGGATTGTCCCGATTCACGCACCGGGGCGAGGCGATGCTGTCCCTTCATTCCAGACTGCGCGAAGCAGGGAGCGGGGCGGTGACCCGCAAAAGGCTGGGGCGCAGGTCATCAAAAATTTACACTGTTTATACATTATAACAAATGACTTCCCCGGCATTTGAGTCCGTTTTGAGCAGGCAGTCCGTGAGCTGATGGTCGAGATTACCTGCTTATACATTATAGCAAAGGCGTCGCTTTTGTTGGTTACAAATTACGTGACTTTTCCCGGCATTTGAGTCCGTTTTGAGCAGGCAGTCCGTGAGCTGATGGTCGAGATTACCTGCTGCTGTGATCACTTTTCCCCCAGTTACTGCTCAGTTCTGCTGAATTCACTCTTGGTGGCTCTTGTCCAGCCCGTTCACCTCGGGACTATCTTCCCTTTTCCTTAAAACAACAAATTAGCCAAGCATATGAAATTCACAATGCAGTTTTTTCATCCTAACTGTCCAGCCACAGCTACTGGTTAGCAACTAAAAAATAACACCTGCAAGGTTTGACACAGACCCTTGTTCAAATCTTGAGGGGCTTGGGATGAGGATGATGGGGTGGTGGGATGATGTGGTGGTGGGTCACACTGTGCCAGTGTGTGCATGGGGCAGCTGAGCATGGATAACCAGCACCCATACACAGGGATCCCCAGGAGCAGCCCCCAGGCAGTGGGAGAACACCAGAGCTGCCATGCAGGAGCCACCCAGGGTCCAGAACCAAATCAAAGTGAGCAACATCAAGCCACGGTCCCAAAGGATTAATTAAGTTTTAATAACCTGTTACTGCAATTACCATCCCACAGCCCTGTTGTCGTATCACACTCTAATCAGCACAAACACACACAGCATTCCATTAAAAACCCCACTATTGTTACTTTGGCTGAAGTATTGTTTTCTAGTTTGCCTTTTTTTCACTTGGGAGGGCTGGGGAGGTTTTAGGGTTTTGCATTATCTGCCTGTGACAAGCAAAGTGGTATTCCTTAATCAAAAGGAGACTCATCTAAAATACACTTCCATTCTGCAATCAAGGCAGTATCTCAGCAGAGCCTTAATGAAGTCAAATAGGTTTTGCATGCCCAGGATCTTAATTTTTTTTTTACAGTACAAACAGTTAATTTGAGACAGCTCAGTTGGTCAGTGCATGGTGCTAATAATGCCAAGGTTGTGGCTTTGATCCCTGTATGGGCCATTCACTTAAGAGTTGGACTTGGTGATCCATGAGGTCTCTTCCAACTCAGAACGTTCTGTGATTCTAACTATAAAATATTATGAAATTTTTTCACAGACTGAGCATTTAAAAATATATCCAGTGATTTCTCAAAGCCTTAACACCCATAGGTTTACACTTTCAATACTTCTAGTTATTGTTATAAAGAACCATGGCCACGAGGCAGTGGTGGAATTTGCCTGCCCCTGAAGAGCTCATGCTGGATGAACCTGTCCTGGACAAAGGTCTCACTTAACCAGAGGCTGTGAAGGAAACAATGTTTTTGAAATGTTACCAAGAACTGTTTCCTCGGCTTAATTTATACCAGAAAACAAAGGATCAAATAACACACAGAGGCTGGGTTTTTTATTAATGCAGAATGTGGCTGGTGAGCCAGAGAGGAGAGGTTTGCTCAGCCTTTCATTGGCTGCACCGTCCCTGTAAACAATGACAGATTCAAAGGCTGAGGCTTGAAGCACTGCAATTTTCAACAGATTTGTAAAACAACAAGAAACTGAAGTCTGTAAGTCTGAATGTAAGAACGATTAATAACTTCTGAAAAAGAGAAATTATTGGATTTTAATTTTTTTAAAGGAGGTATTGGCTAGTAGAAAGTGAACCAGAGTTTATAAATTAAAAAAAAAGCAGTCTTGTGAGGATGAATCTTCAGCAATCAGGTCAGAATACTCTCAAAAACCAAGAAACTGCTTGACTTAAACAGCACAGAAAAGCTGGGACTGGAATAACCTCTCTTGTATTGCCAATCTCCTTAATTAGAAATAAGGGGCCAAGACAAGTCAGGAGGAGAACCACTGAAGGACAAAGTGAAAAAGTTATTGTTGCTACTTTCATAGTTCATGTTTCTCAAAAGAAAGGAAGGAAGTTTGTAGAATCAATGCCTCACCCAGTTACTCTGTTGCCCATCTTTTCATCAGGGCAGTGTTGTCTCAAATTTATTATTTGAGTATGGAAAATGTGCATTGCTGCTGTTCTTTCTGGACTCAAATTCATGCTTACAGATACTGCCATAGCCTCCAAAAATGTCTCCTGAAAGCAAAGAAGGTTTAGCTGTGCATTTATCAGTGAAGTTGCATTCATGCACTGGTGAGGTTTTAGCACTGACAAATCCAGAATTTCCAGAGGGGATGGACAAAATGCCGTTTATAATTGAAATGTCACCACTGCAGATTAACAGCTCGAGGCAAAGCACAGATTAATCACTCAAGACACATGGAGCAGAGTAAAGGGAAAAGCAAGTTTATTCCCCTTTTCCTATTAACTAGTTTCTGACCTGATGGAGAAGCAATACTTCCATGCTTTCCTAGGCCCCTGGCTGTTTAGATAAGTTACAACTAGGATGCCAATTAAAGCTATTTTTTCTTACCCCGCTGTCAGTTAACTGCAACTGCACATTTATATCAAAATTCATTGCAAAACACAAATTAACTGTAATCCACATTCCTACATACTGAGATTTTCCACTTTTTATTCTCAATTCCAGTATCAAAACCTGCCTCTGATCTCAGCTGCACCTGATATGAACTTAGATTTAAACACTCTCTTCAGCTTTGCACAGGAGAACTCCTCCAAAAACAGTGATAGCCTAAATTCCAGGCTTCATTATCATCACATCATCTGAGACATGCAAGCTAGAGAGAGCAGATAGACCAGACCTTTGCTCTAAATTAGGCTGACTGTATTGACAGCAGTCCAGCTAACATGATTTATACCAGCTACATAATTTAATGGGATGTGGAAGGACTCACACCTCCACAGGAAACCCATGGGCAACTACAAAGCTAACAGTCCTCCTGCTCCCAGAAGTAGATTTTGGGCACCTGACTAGTTATTTTAAGTAGCAGGCAGCCAAGTGTTTCTGAGCACCAAGCAGGTATTCCACATTGCACAGGTGGGCCCAGCAGAAGCAATGGGACAGGTAAGAGTCACTGCAAATAGAGACTTAAGTTACAAACATGCAATAAACCACAGCAGCCCGTGTCAGTACAAGCATTGTTAAGTCTGCAGGCACAATTATCCTCTACCCAATAAGAAATCTTGTGGCTTTTTAATTAGCCTCAGAAACACAAAACATAGTAAGCTGGGTCAGATGCAAACCAAGAAACCTGAGTCACCTGCGCTGGTGCTAATGAGGTAGGAGATGTTTACAATGTTAAGTTCCAAGTAACACAACACTAACACATTAACACATTGCATTAAAAAAAAATAGTCTCAGCCTGAGCACTGGACCTACCTGCTAGAACAATATCTGAACAATGGCAATGCCCTAGAGGTCATTCCCTTCCTATGCGGCATTGCAAGTACTCTTATCACAAAATCTCCAGCAATGTTTAACCAAGTACTGAAAATATAAAATACCACAGTACCATAAATTAAAAGATGAAGTTTTTGTTCTTTTTATTGAGATGGTATTATAATACCAGAAGTGTTTTTCTTTCCCTAAATATGTGCTTATCTGTTGAAGTTATTTTTGCACGTGATCTTGTGGTAACCATTATGTTTGTCCATTCCTCCAAAAGCAGTGGAAAGTCTTCACTCTGTAAGAATAAGAACTCAATGTTTAAATGGATCAAGGTGGCTGGTTTTTTACTGGCTCTGCCATGAACACGTGAGTGTGAGAAGGAACTCTGCTGCTGTGCTGGCTGCCCAGAGTGGTTGTGGAGTTGTGGAGTCTCCCTCACTGGAGCCATTCCAGGACCATCTGAACACAATTCTATGCAATGTGCCCTAGGACACCCCTTGAGCAGGGATGGTGGCCTGGGTGACCCACTGTGGTCCCTTCCAACCTGACCCACTGTGATTCTACAAAAGCACATACAAAGATCCAGCGAAATCCCTATGAACGAGTTCCACAAGAGGAAGCCCAAAGCACAGTTGCTGCATAGAGATTAAAAATGTAGATTATTTAAGTATAGTAATTACTCCACAAACTTACTGGCTGAGTTAATTTTTTGACACGTGCATATTCAATGTGCCAGGTGTGGTATTGCATTAACCAGCTAAGGCCCTTGACAGAGAACTCACGAGGAATTGGTGCAGGATTCCATAGAAAAGCACACACAAGCACATATATAATGAGTACAGAAAAGAATTTAAATGATGGTTCAATACAAGATCTCTACTATACCATCAGTTTTGTGGGTATTGGTCAGTTTGCAGTTTTTATTTGATCATGTGCATACAATCCTCCAATTGCACATCTATTGAATTCAGCAGATGTTTTGACTTCAGTGGGTACTGAATGAGGCGCTGTGGAATTGTATCTGGTTTTACATCCTCTAGTTTATATACTCTAGTTTATATACTCTAGTTTTACAGATGTAATTTCCTTGACTCAATTAGGCTACCAGTGATTATGAAGTGCAGTACAAAGTCCTCATGAGATTGCTGCATGGAAGTGAAGCATGCTTCTGAATAACAAATTATTTTTAGGATACTTTCCTTCTCTGCACAGACTTCAAATCCACGTTCATTCTCACAATAGAAAGAGTAGTCAGCCATCCTCTTTGGAGGACTATCCTAACTACAGTCATTTGCAAGGCTTATTAAAGTTAACTTATGCACCCAGCAGAGTTTCTCAAAGATGAATACCAAAGTGGTTTGTGTTCTAGTACTCAAAAGCAAATATCTGAGAAGCAAGATGGTGTCATCCAGATAAAACTTTTCATTAACAACACATTAACCAGTTCTTTCACGCTGTACTTGATTCTTATCAAACTTCACTTACAGATAAGTACATCTTATTGATTAAAAGCAATCAAAGATAAACTCATTCCTACTCCAACAATGCCTGAATTGGACACCAATAAGGGACAAACCTTGCTCTTTTCAGCACCATACTGGAAGGACCAAAAATCTTGCAATCAAAATCCTGTAGTTTTTAGGTGGAAAAATCAAGGCGGATTTTTAGGTGGAAAAGTTACACGTTATACAATTTGTTTCAGACCCTGCTTGAAGCTCCCACAGAATTCCTAAATGCTTGTTATGTCTCCTGGGAGGACAAATAACCATAGGCTGTTGTCACCTCCAAGAACTGTAGCTTTCATATTTCCATGGATAGGAAAAAGTCAGAAAAGTATTTGGTATAGAAGAGAAGGAGGCCAGGGGAACTGTGAGGGAAGATGTCAAAAGTTCATTTGTTTAAAATCTCTAACTGGTAGATACGTTCAGTTTCTTCTTAGATTTGCCTCTGCACATTGTCACTTCTAAAAGGGAATTTCAGAAGTTCTTGGTGGGCAAGGATAGCAGAGCTGTAAAATGAGCAATTCCTGACCCTCATTTTTGGAGGCTGGTTGTTTGCCCAGGAGAGATTCCAGTCCTATCAATGAAACAACCAACAGAGGGAGCAGCCATCTAACAAAGCACATTTCAGTATTTTACTTTACTTTTTGTAGCAACTAACACTCCAAAGGAATATGATCTAATCCTCAGCAAGACAGCGGAACAGAGGTTTTCAAATGCTGTTTATGCCAGGTACAAAAAGCACACACAGAACATCTGCTGCATTTAACTCCTTAAAAGCAGCACTGAATTTGGCATGCAGGAACACAGTAACTTCTGTTTGACCATATTTACCATCCACAAAAAGAAAAAAAAACAACAAAAA